AAATGTAAATTGCTAAACAAATAATAGATGAAAACGTTAAAGTTTACATTCATTTTAAAGCGTAGCCATTCAGCTTTCTAACAGTGGGTTGTTTCTTAAATTTGACTCATTGGTTCGCGGGTAATAATACTTTACGTACGTTATTGCGATTGGAGATTAAAAAAATTGAGATGGAATAACAAATCGTTCTCATGAAAATAACTGATTTTTTCATTAAAACAAAAAAATGTTGCATTTTATTAAATGGATTGTAACAATAAGTATAATTACGGCTTTTCTTCCACTATTTTAAACTCAGTTTGAAACTTCAAATGCGATATAATTTTGGCTTGGACCATCTAAGCTGACTGAGATCAGCTTGCTATAATTTCTGTTTACATTACATCGTAATTCGATGACACTCTGGCTCAGACACCAGAATGTTTTGATTCTATGATTTTTAACATTCGTGAGGATTTTCAAACAACCTGGTCTCTTTTAAAATACTTTTAATTTGTTCTTACGTGGTTTTCCAGATGTAGTGACGACAACATTAAAGTTTAATTAAAGAAGAAAATTCTAACATTAAAACCGACTAAACAATAACATAGTAAACTTGCATAATTAAACAGCAACTAAAAATGATAGGTTTTACTAAATCTTTTCTTGTGCAACTATTACTAGCATTGGAGACAAGGATAATAGTTTGTTTGAAAGAGAAAAGAACAGGCTTTGAAGTAAGCCTAAAAGTGTTTAACTAGACATAGTATTTCGAAAGTTATTAAGCACAAAAGATGAATTGCGTTTATTTTGATACACCCTGTAGTATTGTCACAAATGGACATGGCCAAATGTCGTTATTTAGTAGGGACGGGAGATTATTTTCTGGAGGGGGGACTCTTAAAAATGTTTGCACATAAAAGTATTTAATCTATTCAGGTCATGCAATATAAATTACATAATCAGCGAAAAAAAAGTAAAGTGTTTGCCTTAGACCCCAGATGCACGATGCCAAATTCGCATCGGAGCTTGTCTGCTCTAATTTTTCAAATTTAATGTTTTCGTTTAATTCTGTTATACTATAATTATATAATTTTAAATGTTGAACTCACCTTCATAGTGTAAAAATTGATACTGCTTCCGATGCGAATCCGGTAGCGTATAACTAGTTGGCGAAGCTTTAAACTGTCAGCAATAGGGTTGTCCGAAATTCTGACAACCCTCTCTGCTGGGATTTCTTTAGATATTCGCCCTGGCCAGCAATAGGGGGTCTGATATTCTGAGAACCCTATCAGTTAGTATATATTTTAGATGTTTTTCTGGCCATCAATAGGGTGTCCGAAATTCTGAAATCCTATCAATTAGCATGTTTTCTAGATATTCTATCCTGCCAGCAATAGGGGTGTCAGAAATTCTGACAACTCTATCAGTTAGCACAATTTTTAGATATTTTCTCTGGCCAGTAATAGGGGCGTCAGAGATTCTGACACCCCTAACAGTTAACATATTTCTTAGATATTCTCTCTGATCAACAATAGGGGTGTCTGATTTTCTGACACACCTATCATTAGCATATTTTTTTTTAGATATTTTCTCCGGCCAGCAATAGGGGTGTCAGAAATTCTGACACCCCTATCGTTTAACATATTTTTTAGATATTTTCTCGGGCCAGCAATAGGGGTGCCAGAAATTCTGACACCTCTATCATTTAACTTTTTTTTTAGATATTTTCTCTGACCAGCAATAGGGGTGCCAGAAATCCTGACAGCCCTATCAGTTAGCATATTTTGTAGATATTTTCTCCAGCCAGCAATAGGGGTGTCAGAAATTCTGACAACCTTTTCAGTTAGCATAGTTGTTAGATATTCTCTCTGGCCAGCAGTAGGGGTGTCAGAAATTCTGACAACCCTATATCTGTTAGCATATTTTACAAATGTTCATGTATTTTGCAGACAGTAAATCGAATTCTGTTAAAATTCAGTTATTTGGATACAAAATGGAATCTTTTTCAGTAGTCCACACATTTAAAGGATTAAAAGACGCATTTTTTAGTACATCGCACAACTGGACTTGAAAAACAAAAAAGAAGAATTTTATTACTTTTTGGGGTAAACCAATATTAGTTTGAACAAAGTATAAAAATGTAGCATAAAAATGTGCCAGAAATCTTGGTAACATTTCATACAGCTAAAATAAATGTTTTATGCGAATACATTTTCGGCAAAATTTAGAGGAAAATAACAAAAAAATACTTAAAATTCCTTCGAATCCGCATAATATCAAATTATTTTGATATTTTGCAGAACAATTACGTAAATTCCGCACAATATAGGAAATAATACTCAAAATAGGCATTTTGGAATTTCTAATTTGAAGGTCTACAATAAAATCATGAGGTTGTAATGTTTAAATTTTCTATAGTGAATATTTTTACAACCGTTTCTTGGTCTTCTAGCTCGTCTAATAATAAAAATTAGCAAATGGTCTGAAATTGAACTAGTTAAAACGCCAGATGAAACAACCTTTTCACCATCATTTGTCAATACTATAAGTATATGAAGCTAGATGTGCGATCTGTAATCCGTGTAGGTGATTTGATAAGTTGATTTAAGTGGTATATATTAAAGAGTTATCACAATTTAAATCTCCCAATAATTGTAGGTTTCTTTAGCTTCAGGGGAAAGTTTTTCCGTAATTTCCTCAAAGTCCATTTTAAATTTATCAAAATCACTGTTTGGTGGGCGATAAACAGAGCTAATTAAGATCTTACTCTTGTTAGGAAAAGACAATTTCAACCAGACTGACTCAAAACCACTCGAAAATATATCGTGTTGTTGGCGAGCCATAAATTTAGTATTATAATATATAGCCGTACCTCCTCCTCTTAGAGCACCAGTACGGTCCATCCTAATGATATTATAGTCATCAATACAAAGTTTCGTGTCAGTCCATGTTTCATCATAGATTAGGAAATGAATAGATGGCTCACTCCTTTGATGTTTTTGACGCTGCCGGCACTCACGCATGTTCTTGCCAGAGTAATGGCGGCCTGGCAAGAACTATAATAAAATGTATTGTGAAATTGACATCCGCGCTACTAAATCCTGTATTTTTCCTATTTCGGGGGTTTGAATGGAAAAATAAATCAGAATTATAAAAATACAGGATTTAGTAGCAACGATGTCAATTTCACAATGCATTTTACTACAGTTACCTGCTAGGCCGCCATTACTCTGGCAAGATCATGCGTGGGTGCCGGCAGCGTCAAAAACATCAAAGGAGTGAGCCATCTATTC